CCCCCCCCCCCCCCCCCCCCCCACGCCCAGGGATGCTCTGCCCATCCTCACCTTCCACTCACCTCCACAGCCCCTGGGTGGGGGAAACTGAGGCACGGACCGGGGCGTAGGGAGGGACCGCACAGCCAGGAGACAGCGAACAGGAAACGAGCTCCGGTTCCGCGAGCAGCAGCTGCCGCCCGGCCCTCCTCTCCTTTGCCCTCCCCTCCTCGGCCTTCCCCTCTCCTCCCCTCGCCTGCCCGACCCTCCCCCGCGGCCGGGGGGATCCAGGCGGGCGGTGCCGGGAGTGGGGTGGCCCCCGGGCCTCCCCTCCTTGGTGCCGGTGCAGATGTTGCGCCGGGAGGTTTGGAACAGCGGGAGGAGTGGCACAGCGCAACCCCAGCTGGGTTTATTGTATTCAAGGCTGAGAAACCAGACTTTTCGCCAAGCAAACAGAAAGACTTTCACGGCGCTGTGCTGCTCCCCCAGCAGCCAGAAACCGGCCGGGAGCGTGCTAGGGACACTGGAGGACCCAGGGCGGGGGGGACCCACTCAGTGCCAGTTCCGGACCCCGACCAGCACAGCTCGCATGGAAACTTCTGGGATTATATTTCCATTTCGCCCGGGTGGGAATGGTCCCGGTGGGGTGAAGGTACCTTGGGACGGGCGGGGGAGCCCCCGGGCTCACCGAAGATTGCTGGTGTCCTCACGGTGCTTTTTGGGGGTTTCTGGTGGCCATGTCCTCGGGGTGCTGCTGGACGTTTGCAGGTGGAAAACCCACCCTTCTGAGCCGTGCTGGGAAGGGGGTCACGGCGAGGGGCTCGCGTGCTGTGAGGCACGGGGACAACTTGCCACGAGGCTGTGGCCGGTGATTCAGGGACACGGGGCGAGCTGGCACACGGGCGTTGTTTGCCGGCCACCCTGAATCACCCGTGGCACTGCCGGAGGCTACAGCAAGCACCTCCATCCCTCCCCTCTGCAGCCTCTCCGGCCCCTTCCTGCCCATCCTGGTGCAGAACCCCCGCCGTGGCAGGCTCGGCCGGGCTGTTCTGGTCCCTGCAAAGTTGCTGGCTGCTGCTGCAGTGAAACCCACCCGTGTTTCGGGAGGCTGGGGCGGACACGGAAACGTGGCGTCTGTGTCAAAGCGAGCGCTTCCCCCGGCGGTCGGAAACGGCTCCCTCTGTTTGTGAGCGCTTTGTGGTGCCGTGGGAAAGGCTGATCACGGACCTTCCAGCCCCAGCAGTGTCCCCCGGGCAGCAGCAAAGGAGCATTAGATGTGAATTACAGCAAGGACTGAGGGCTTGTGGCACTGAGGGACGCGGGTCTGAAGCAAACCCAGGGCCGTGGGCAGCCCGAGGTGTTCCCAGAGCAGGGGATGAGTGGGAGCACACCTGCACCCCTTGATGTACTGAGAACCTGCAACTCACAGCATCAGTGATAGCTTCTGCAGCTCCCTGAACCCTTCATGATTATATGAAGGCACCAACCATACCTTAGATCCTACCACAGATCCTACACCTTAGATCCTACCACAGATCCTACACCTTAGATCCTACCCCCTACTCCGTCATTACAATTCCCCCATTTTTCCTCCCATTTTATTATTCTAGGGTTTTGATGTGGGGGAGGAGCAGAGATGCCTCTCAGCTCCTCCTCCCCAGTCCAGCTAGGCCTTGGGTGATGCTGCAGACTGCAGCCGCTGCAACTCCAGGACACGGACGAGGAGGAGGAAGGCAACACTCAGGAGAAGTAGCCAGAAGAAAACCCAGTAGTGCTGTGGGAAGAAGAGCCATGGACGCCACAGCTCTGCTGCAGACCCCTTGGACCTGGGGAAAAGGTGACAAGGGACACTTGTCATCTGTGAGAGAAAATCCCACCTCCACCCCATCTGGGGACAAGGAGGGTGTTTAACTCAGCCCCAAACCTCACTGGCCCTTTTACAAAGCTTGAGGAGGGCATGGGCAACCCACAAAGTATGGGCAAAAGTGAGGCACCGCGGGGGCAGCCAAGCGACATCCCAGCCTTCCACCACTAAATACCCCAGCCCCATGCCCAAGCACCGGCCACCTGCGGACCACAGAGAGGCCAGCAGCCATGGGGAGATGCTGGGCACATGAAGGGTGCTGCTCACATCAGCCCAAGCTGCTCCTGCTCCTCGTCCCCTGCGTTTGAGCCTCTGCCATCTGCCTCTGCCACCAGCTTCCCAGTCACAGCGCTGTCCTGGCCCTGTGGCTCCAGTTCACTCCTGGGGAGGGAGAGGGGTCGGTGCTGTCCCACATGGGTGGTGGCTGCCCAGCCACCTGGCACAGTTACCTCTGGATGCTGGGCCAGCACTGGGCTCCCTCTGGCTCTGGGTCACCTGCTGGGGCCACTCGGCTCTCAGGGCTGGCACCTGGCTGGGCACCGAAGGTGGGAGCATCAGTGGGGACGTGGAGCCCCAGTGGCACCGAGCCTGGGGAGAGCTCCTGACTGTCCCCACCGAACACATCCTTACCAAGAGCTGCTTGGGGATGACGGCAATGCTGACTCTGCGGCGGGCAGACCCCTGCAACAGAGGGGCTAGGGGTGAGCACTGTGTGGCTGCTTCTCACCTCCTCCTTCCCCATCACCCCCCCACCCCAGCACGGGCAAGGGACACCACAGGACACTGCCAGCTCCCAGTAGAGCTAAGAGGGGAAGCTGGAAGGTCGGGGAAGGTCAAAGCCAAGAGGTTTGTGCCTGCATTTACTGCTGCAAGCAGTAGTAGGGGCTGCCTAACCCCCTCCCCTACCTCTTGAGCTATAGGGAAATCAGTGTTGGATTCAAGCTGGTGCTAAAGAACAGCCAAGCCTGTGTCTCTTTGCACTGTGACCCAGCAATGGAAGAAGGATCTGCCTAAGATCTCTTGCACAGGCAGCCCCCAGCTTGCTGGGCACCCTGTCTGTCTACCAGCAGCCCTCTGAGGCTGCCCCTACATTTTGCCTCATCCCTGGCACTTCCAGCAGATCCTTCCTGTAGCAGCAGCTGGCTGCAGTGACATTGTTCGGGGACAAGTGTGTGTGTGGGGACAGCCTGTTGAGGGAGGGTGGCAGGGCATGGAGAGGCAGTGTCTCTGAGACTCCTGAACTGGGACCAGTTACCTGCTGGAAAGTTCTCTTCAGGGGGTGAGGTCTCAGCCGTGGCTCCACATCATCTGGGAGGAAAGAGAAGCTGCCTTACATCATCCCCCAACACTAAGATGGGGCTGACGCACAGACGGTCACAAAGCTCCCAGCCACTGAAAGCTGTCCCAGGCCACGTGCTCTGTGTGTGGCGCAGGTGGTGCCCTGGGCAGGGGGACCTGGTCCCATGCACAGCAATGGCACGTGTGGGGTCTGGTGTTCAGGAACAGAGTCCTTTTTGTGCATGGCCCCACCCCATCCTGCATTCCCAGCTGGGTTATGGCTCTCCAGTCACCAGCACCTGGCTCCCACACTGATCTGCTGTTCCACTGTCCCCTCACAACTGTCAGCAGCTGTTCCCTTCACCACCCCATCAGCTGTTCCCCACTGTGGGTCCTCAAATCACACCACCCACTGGCTCTGTGGTCACACTGGCCCCCCAGAGGGGATCGGGACCAGATCCTGCAGGGTTGCTGCGTGCAAACCCTGCCCAGGCCCCAGCGGCACAGCCCACCTCACCCTGGGTCTCTGCCAGCTGCCGGTTGCGGGAGTTTTGCTGGATCAGGCGCTTCATCTCCTCCAGTTCCGCGTGCTCCCGGATGTGGTGCCGCTTCAGGTTCTCCACGTGCTGGACCATCACCTCTGCTGCTCGGCTCATCCGGGCCTCCTGGAGCCAGGCGGGATGGGGGTCAGGGTCTCCTAAGGAGCCAGGTCTCTGCCAGTCCCTCCCTGTGCATCCCATGGTGCCTCCACCCAGGGAGTGCAGGTGCATCCCCTTCCTGCTCCCAAGGGCAGGCAGATGGATCCCTTGCACCCTGGTAAGCGCAAACACGAGGTCAAGACCAGCGCCGTGAGGAGGAGAAACAAACCCCAGCAAGCCCAGGGACGAGTCCCCAATCCCGTCTGTAGCACCCTCCATCACTTCCAGATGTGTACCTGGTGTACAGCCCCCAGCTTCTCCGCCGCACTGGTTGCCCTCTCAACAGCTGCTGACAGCATGGCCAGGTTGTGCTGCAGCTGCTCCAGCGTCTCCTTGCAGCCTGCATTGGCACAGGATCGGCCCAGCCTCTGGGAGGGGAAAGGAGGGAGCTCCTGGAGCTGGCACTTTGAGTTGTCCAAACCCCTCTGAGTGCTGGATGACCCCAGCACATGCCAGCCTCCTGCGCTGCTGCCCACCTACCTCCAGGGCAGCTCGGCACTGCCCCAGCTCCTCCTGGATGTTTTCCTCTGCTGCATCCCGTGCCCGTTTCTCCACCTGCACCCGTTGCTGCAGAGTGAACACATCACAGCGAAAAGCCAGGGCGAGGTGCGCAAAAGCTGCCTGTGGGGGAAGGAGGTGAGAGGTGGGACACGGGGCAGAAGGGAAGCCACCAGGGCCATGTGCTGCTGTCACCAAGGCACAAAAAACCTCCCAGTGTGCCACCAAATGAAGCAGTGCTAAAGATAATTAGCACTTGCCTTGTCCCAGCACCCCTTCGGCTGCTGCGTGCAGGGGCATGAGATGCCAGCCCAGGAAGACGTCCCCCAGGCAGCCGATAACGCATGGAAATGTTGAGCCCTCCTGGCAAGAGCACATGCCAGGCAGACACCAGCCCTCACTACGGGTCCTGGCTGATGGCTGAGCCTGACTCAACCCTGGCACTCGCAGGGAAATTATTTTTATTAGCGTGGCCCTGCTGCCTCCCCGGCTAAGCGCACTCTTCAGCAGCTGCAGAGCACTTTGTGGGATTGCTGGGTGCACAGAGGACAGACTCATGGAAATGCAGCTGCCTCCAAATGCCAAAATCATCTCAGGGTTTATAAGGTGGCTGCCAAGGGACTGCAGTGCCTGAAGGAGCAGGGCACAGCCGTGGCACTGCAAGCCAGCAAAGGTGTCTGTCCTTGTGTCCCCCTTGCCCAGTCCAGCAGCCCTCACCTCCAGATCCTGCTCTGTCAAAGCCACCCTGCAGAAAGAGAAGTGCTGTCAGGGATGGAGGCATCATGGGGACTGCATGCTGAAAATGCCCTTGTTCTGCTCCCAGGGGCGCCA